CAAATCCCAAATACTAGTAATTTGGGATTTTGGCATCCCAAATCCCAAATGATTTGGGATTTGGGCAACACGTATAGTACACAATAGATTAAAATAATGATTATCACATTTCTATAACATGTTTTCAGCCTGATTTTCATGTGAAATCATTAATAATATAAATAAAAGAAAATATAAAAAGAAAAGAAAAAGAAAAATAAAATTAGAAATAAGTTTATATAAAACTATACATGTCACCCAAATTTAAATTCAAAAATCCAAATTCCAAAATATATTTTGACCACCCAAATCCCAAACCCAAAATATTTTTGGCAGCCCAAATTATTTTTGGCAGCCCAAATTATTTTTGGCAGTTCAAATTATTTTTGGCAGCCCAATTTATTTTTGGCAACCCAAATTATTTTTAACAGCCTAAATTATTTTTGGTAGCCCAAATTATTTTTAGCAGCCCAAAATATTTTTGGCAGTCTAAAATATTTTTGGCAGCCCAAAATATTTTTGGCAATTCAAATTATTTTTGACAAACCAAATTATTTTTGATAACTCAAATTATTTTTGACAATTCAAATTATTTTTGACAACCTAAATTATTTAAGACTATCCAAATTTTTGACAGTTCAAATTATTTTGTCAACCCAAATTATTTTGGCAATTCAAATTATTTTTGGTAGTTCAAATTATTGTATTTCAAAATACTTTTAATAATTTAAATAATATGAAAAATTATAGATTTTGTTTATTGATAAATGTTAATAATGAAATATTAACTTTGTGTAGAGAGGTTCAATTTGGATAAATTAGCTACCAAAATGTTCGTCTCGATGAGAGGAATCTAATGAGCTATAATTTGCTAAAATTGGATCACAGGTTAGTGAACTCGCTCAATATAACATGAAAAATTCTAATAGAATTTTATCTACTGATGACCATCTGTTGATGAATATTAACTTTGCATAGAGAAGTCAAATTTTGATGAAATAATCACTAAAATGTTCACCTCAGTGAGGGGAATCTGATGAGCTATAGATTGCATATAAATCACAGGTTAGTGAAATTGCTTCATATAATGTGAAAAATTATAATAGAATTTATCTACTTATATATATCTGATGATAAAAGATTAACTTTGCATACAGAAGTCCGATTTTGATGAAACAACCACCAAAATGTTCGCCTCGATGAGAGGAATCTAATGAGCTATAATTCACTAAAATTGGATCACAGGTTAGTGAAATCACATGAAAAATTATAATAAATTTTTATCTACTTTAAAACAAATGTTTTTGTTAATAACTTGATATAGAGATGTCAAATTGAAATAAAAAAAAAGTATCATTTGAAGCAAAAAACATGAAAATTCTAAAATGGAAACATTGTTATACAAAATTTTGCAAGCTTATGGATTTATATTGCAATTCTATTTAAAAAATTTGTAATATTAAGAATTTGAAAAAAAATCAAGGACACTATCTTTATTTTCAACAATTATTTTTGACAATTCAAAATATTTTAACAATTTAGCTTAAATTATTTTTAATATTTCAATTATTAATATTTCAAATTAAAAAAATTATATATTTATTATTAAATTTATTATTCAAATTTATATAAAAAAAAATTTAATTGAATAATTATTATATATATTTGTTATCTTATTCCTTAAAAAACATAATAATTATTCTATAATTTCTGTTATATTAGATGAATTTCTTTTTAATGCATTATTTAAAATTGATTCAATATCAAAATCTTGGTCACTATCATCAATTTGCTCTGATGAACCTGATAAACAAGGTACTTCAACTGTCACTTCAATTTCAAGAACTTGTCGAAGTTCAGTATCTGTAACATTAAAAAATGAATCAAAATTTTTAAACTCTAAAAAATGAATTTCTTTTTGTTCCTCCTCTTCAAAATCTAATTCATTATCATCTTCAAAAATTTCATCTTCAAAAGGAAATGTTGTTTTTGCAATTACATTTTCAAATTCTTCAT